CTGTGGGGGTCTTTGTGGTGAGAAATAAAGTTTGAGGTTTTTTAAAGAGTTGATGAACAAATATTTTGTGATGGCTTTCTTTCTGAAGGTATTTCCCCCTTTCAACATTTGAATAATTTTTACAATTTCAATTAACCTTGACACTTCTTTCCTTCGGGTTTAGAGTTTTTTGAAATGTGTTGGCTAGATAGAGACCTAACTTAGTACTCCAGTCTAGGTGAGTTTTAATCTTTTGCGTTGTGTAGCTTACAGGAGGGTAGTAAGTTCTTGTTAAGTCAGAGGTTGAGAAATTAAGAAAAAAGCTTTGGGATGGGATATGAAGATGTAAATAGGAATGGCCATTAAGGCCCGAGATGCAGGAGGTGTAAGACCATGACTTCAAATTACTATGACATGGTGAGGGGTATGGAAAACACAGGACACAAATTACAAGGGAGAGGGACTGCAGTATTTCCCCTCATGGAACAACCTTTCTAATATTTAAGTTTCACTGTATAGATTCATGTCAGTGGCATCCTTTGCCTGCTTTTCAGCTCCCCCCTAAATCCTTCCCCAAGAAAATTTCTGCAGTTGTGTTACTTTTTATTTTTTTGCAGCTACATTTTGAGGAGTTTTAGCAAGGTTTTTTTCTTTTAAACTACCTGATATGTTGACCTTAATAGCAAGATAAATATTAAGTACTCCAATATTGTGTATAGATACTCTGAGAATAATGAGTATATAAGCACAGGCAAGAGAATGAAAGCAAATCTGTTTACAGAGTTAGGCCATATTTAAGATTCTGAAATTTCTGCCAAACAAGGAGCACAGTAAAATTTCGTCTGCCATTTGTGTTGTTCCTAAGTTCTTTAATTTAGCAGACAAGATAGTTTGGTTGTAATTAAGCTCTTCTAATAATCTTGTTCCCAAGGTTGTGGCATAAATCACTTTATTCTGTACTTTCCTACATCTTCACTGTCTCCATATTTCCTGTATAATTCTTCCATAAACAATCTTTGGGATGCAGGAAAACTTCATGCTGTAAATTTTGTCTTGTGTATGTAATTTTGAATATATACTATTGAATTTCTCTTTCTCCAAGTCTTAGTCAGGTTTTCTGATTTTCCTGGTGCTGTCTCTTTCTTCAGTGTGCATACTCTTCCTGCTGTGGTAAGAAATGTTTTTTTCCCCCAAAATAATTCTCATGGCAATTTCTCCTACTCCTTGCTGCTTTTTCAATAGGTAGATCTGGCAACTAGGCTGAATTGACCAACAGTTACTACTGAAGGACAAGGGGCAACGGGCACACTGAAAAAAAAAGAAATTACATTTAAACCTAAGAAAAAGCGTTTTTTATCGTCACTCAACACTGCTTGAACACTCAGCAGGTCACCCAGAGAGGTGACAGAGTCTCCATCCTTGGAGATGTTTAAAACCTGGCCCTTCCCAACATGCATGAGTTTAGCAAGAACAGGGGTTTTAGACTGGGATCATGTTCAGGGCCCCTTCCCACCACAGCTGTTCCCTGAATCGGCGATGTGAATCTGGTTTGTCTTATCTGCAATTCGCTTTAAGACCACCACAAATTTTAGTTTCTTTGTACTAAATTAAACAGCGGTCAAGTTGTAGTCATTCTGTCCTGCCCATCCTTTCACCATTTCCTCCCAGAAAAATTTCAAAAGGAAACCCTAATCAACCCTTAAAATCTTGGAACATATTTCATGAGTCTTAAGAAGGATACCTTCCTACTTGTTTTCCAGGTATATTCAGTTTACCAGTTCAGACTTCCTCAACAATATTTTGTTATAGTAAAAGATGTTTTTAAGACTTGTTGCACTGAGGATTAGTTTAATATAAGTAAAGATATTACCTGGGGGAAAGTATGTTTTTCCAAACCATCCTTTTAGGATTTAGAAGGAGAATGAGGTAGCATAAAAGTTGCAGCTCTTAACAACAAGAGGTTGCAGGTTCTCTCTCTCCCATCAGCATAACTCCGTTGTATATTTTGTATCTGACTTTCTGTTTGAATGAATGAGCTAGTATAGACGTGAATTTCCTAATTTTGGTAAAAGCAAACAAACAAATAATCAATTATAAATATTGATATAACATTCAATTAGAATTTTCAACAGAACAAGAAACATTTCTTAGAAAACTGTTAACCCACTAAGAAAAAAAAATTGTGGGACAGAAGGGAAGCACTGGAGGAGTTCAAGGCCCCAGTGCATTGAGATAGAACAGAAGAAACTGGGAACCCATTCCAAACTTTTTTCGTTTTGTTACTGTTTTTTCAAAACACAGTATGGACTTTTATTCTTCTTAACCTTTTTTTTTTAGTCTTGCCATTTGACTTAATAAATAGTACTCTAAACAATAGGATTTTTATTAATGTACTTCATTACCACAGAAGAGCATGTCAGTCATACCCTAGTTCAGTTATCTTACTGACAGGTAGTTTGTGTGATTGCTTGTGCTGTAAGGTCTGACCTTACTAATACCTGTGATTATTGACCTTACACACGATGTGTTCTACCTAAAAGTAAATTAGGAGGAAAAAAAAACCCCAAACTTCTATATCATGTTTGTCCTATGTACATATTTTAGTTCTCCTTTTTAATTGAACAAAAAAGTCTCATGCTGCAACAGATAATTTGGAGTACAGCATCAATACTTGATGTAACATTAATCTGAAACATTTAAATAATAAAAAACTGAGAGGCAGGTACCTCGTTTTTGATAACAAAGAAAGGGGTTTTTTGTGTTCTGAAAGTTACAAATCATGAATACACAACAACAATGTGGATTTTAATTTTTGCTGCTGACAGATGGTAAGTCCTCCAAGTTTTCCAAGTTTTTTGAAGCTTTGCACCATATTGTTTTCATTATGAAAAAAAATCGATATGGCACTGGAAGGCCCTTTTGTTTGCCCACACTATTTATATGGTGTTAAATGGCGTAGTAGCGGAAACTGCGTTTAGGTATTCCATCTCTTTTGGGAACAGAACTTACTGTTTTTCTTGGGGACGGCTTTCCTTGCCGTTTGTCCATTTGTCTCTCTTGGCCTTCTCCCCACCCCCACCGCAACAATACAGTAGTGTAGGTTGTCATGCATCTTGAGTTAGTAACTAAGTACCTTTCCCATTCCAGCACTGTGTCAGAACAAGAAGAGGTAATTGCATGTTTCTTGCTCTGCCCTCTGCTGGTTTAGGAACCTTCTCTCATTCATCTTAACTGTAACGTAATATTTTGTACTACCTCATATTAATATAGCTTGTCACCATCTTAAAAGAAAACACCTCACTCCTGCTTAAATTTTAAATTTAAAAAATAATAATAAGCAGAATTGTTTAAATAGTAATACTGGAGCTTTGATCATGATTGATTAAATAGTATGCAAATACTTTGTCATAGATAGTTCTTTCAAAGATTAAATTGCAACAGAGAATATGTTATAACTCAGCTGCTCTTTGTGTCATGTTCTGTTTCATAAATTAGGGTTATTTTTCTCTCTTTAGCTTCTAAAATTCACAGAACTATTTTCACAGCCACCTTTGTTTACAAAGTTGGATAAGATAACCCCACACCGCTGTAGCTGATAGTATGGGTTAATGTATATGTGCATGTTACATAAATCGTGAAGTTTCCTTCCAAGTACCAATTCTTTTACATAAATTTTTCTTTTATCTATCATAATTCTGTTCTTCCCCCCCCCCATTTTTATCCATATCCATTCCACAGAACATTTCAGACTTAGCTGAACTAAATATTAAACATTCAAAGGAACAGTGATCCCTCAGGTATATATGAATATAAAGCACTGTGAGCATTTGTTGGTATTAAATCTTAAAATATTTCCTCAGCATGTCTGATTTCCTGGAAGAACTTCTCATGAAATTTGGGGGGAAAAAACACATTTGTGATTAAAGAAAATAAGGCAAGCAAAATTGAAGTGTGAATTGTAGTCAAACCACAAATGTGTATCTTACAAATAGGAGACTCTTTTATTATGTCCAGTATTTTAAATTTTAAATAAGTGGGGTTTATTTGTGTGGACCTTTTTTGAGATTCAAAAGTTGTAATAAACATTTCTCTTTTTTTACTTGTTTTAGTACATTTTAAGTATTGTCAAATTTAAGTGAGGTTTTGGGGAAATTTAGCTAGCTGTATTTACTGCTTAATAAAAAAGGAGATAGGAAGTTTCTTCTGTGTTGTTTCATTATATCATTTTTTGAAAGACTTGATTGTGTTACTTAAATATATTGATATCTGTTGTTCAAAATTGTCTGCATTAAAAATGTTTTATTTAGCTTGCTCTCCCTTTCTGAAAACATTTATAAGATTTATCTTTGGGATTATGAATGTCATGGGTTTGACAGAGTACCTATGTAATGGTGACTGTCTTGACACGTGCTCTTCTGTGACTTCAATATTAAAGCCTTGCCATCTCCTCTCTTGCCTTCATCCAGTACACGTAGCTCTGCTTTGAAAATTACAACTTCTAGTCCTTTTGTAGTGTTTGGGTCTTGAATCTTTTCTCCGTGGGTATTTAAAAGTGACTTTTAACACTGAAGAATTGCTTTCTTGTCCTTTGGAGTGATTCACATGGAGTTTCTCTGTATGATGTCTGTTTCACTTTTCTTCAAAAGATTTCGTTGCTTAACCAATAGTATATCTTATGTTTTTAACTCTTGAAAGGCTCCAGAGAATATTTAAAGTAAGACTGTGTTTGTAGTTCTTCTTGTTCCTTTGTTCAGCCGGGAAAGGTACTCTAAGAAACAGCATTTATATTATAGTCTTAAAAGAAAAATTAATAGGGTATAAGATTCCATAGCACAAATCTCCAAAAAGATATTTTGAAGCCTAAGTTCCTATAAAACTAAACATTCTCCAAAGTATGAAGAAATATGGCTGAAAATACAGTTCATACTATTCATAGAATTTATCTACTGCTTATGTGATTACTTAATACAGAATGTAAGTGCTTCATAGTTTCCATGGTTTTTTTTTTTTTTTTTTTTTAGGAAGAACAGAACCGAGGCAAGCCCAACTGGGAACACCTGAATGAAGATTTACATGTACTTATCACTGTGGAGGATGCTCAGAACAGAGCAGAAATAAAACTGAAGAGGGCTGTTGAAGAAGTAAAAAAGTTACTGATACCTGCAGTAAGTATTTGTATGCAAGCCTTTGATTTCCATTTTCAAAGTTGCTTTTGAAATACAACTAATACTGCAGCAGTAAGAGTAAGCCTGCAGAGAGGCATCCTAAAACGAAGTTTAGATATTATCTTATAATACTCTAGTGATCTTTAAAATGTCTCATCCAAGATAGAATTATTCCTTACAACAGAATAGTATTTCAAAGAGATGTCTTTTTTTTTCTTTGCCTGTTTTTTAGATACAGATGCAGGAAATTATCACCGTTAAAAAGCAAAAACTATTTGCAAACACTAGTTTTGTCACTTTCAGTATTAGTATGCATCACTTTAAGGCTGGGAAAATATGACATGCTTTTATGTTTCACTTTGAGATGATTCTGATACTTTAGGAAAAGAAGGCGTGTTTTTTTTTTGATCATCACATTAAACACTTTCCAAAAAGAACAAAATCCTTTAGTATCAGAAAGCTTTCCTGTCACTATACCAGGGAAAAATAAACGTAGGGAAACTGGAAAACGGCTTTTTTTATTTCCTGATAATATAAACTGCCTTCTGGTCAGCTAGATGACTTAAAGCCTTTTGCAGACACCAGAATTGCCCTGTGAGAGCCCTTCTCTTAGATATTCTCTGTATTCTCACACAAAGCGAGTGTGACTGTATGGTGTAGCCCATGCCATTAACTTGCATCTTGTGCTCATTTTGTGCCATGTAAAATGATGAGAATAAGCTGTATCTTTTTCAGTGGTGGAAAAATTTTCCATATTATGAGGAAAATTTGAGATTATCTTGAGAAAGAAAGTATTAGGTAGTTTTAAAATGACTACTGATTTGGGGTGCTTAGTGAATGCTAATAGGTGCTGGCTGTGAGGAAATTTGTGGCGACACGTGCTGTCTCTGTAAGCAGATTTATTCGGAACACATTCTTAAAAGTTACTAAAGATAGGGAGAGAGACTTAATTCTTGAATTATCAAAAAATGGTAGAACACCAAGCAGGAGGTATGAAAAAAATGTAATTTGTACTCCTGACATTGCACATTGTCAGTTTCTGAAAGCAGTAGATCACTAGAGAAAGTAGAACTTCGGAATTTATTAGCTCATTAAAGAGACTTTGAGCACATTAGAATTGAGTTTATAGTCAGGATTAGAAATGGCAGAAAGAAAAAGACTTTCCATATGGGCAAGACTTTGAAACCCTTACTTTCTTTCTCTGCGTACTACAGAGCAAATAGTTTTAAAAACACGCAGCTCAAATTTCCGTGTGATGCAGAATTCATTTTGTCAGACATATGATTCTTTTACCTCCCTCTTATTGCTGAATAATGTGGCTGAAGGGTCAACAAGATCACCTGATAGGTCACAAGTCCCCAGTATGTATGAAGTACTAATGTGTGTACTCTGTGTACGTTTGTGTTATACTTGTTTTGTGGAGCTGTTGGATGGGTGTGTTTTGAGTCCCCCCAAAAATTTAAGGCCTTAGTAGTTTTTTCATTGTGGTAGTGTCAGCCAGATCTTTGTCTTGAAAACACTCTGGCTCATTTAGTACCTTAATCTGTTGGGGAAGCACTGTAATCCTCATTACAGAAATAATTGGTTTTCCCCTTTAATAGAAAACAACAACACAGGGCTAACTTACTGTTCAAATAGAGCATCAGTTGAAATACACTTTGGCAGTTCACTTCGTTATCTTCATATATTATACATAGGCATAAGAATGTAGGTGGTGCGCATTACTTGTGCAGGAGTTAAAGGTCTGCTGGCTCAAATTTCTCAAAATTATGCCTTACTGAAACAGGCATGTATAGTACATGCTAATGAATTATTATATAGGTGAACTTGGTTTTTGCACCACCTATTGCATCTGCTCAATTAGTATAAAAAATGGCTGTTTAATCAGATTATGGTTTCAGGCAGTTTGAGAGCTGAAAATTCAGTTTAGTATTAAAAGATACAAATTGAAAACTTCTGAGGGAAGCCATAAACCTTCGAATAATTAGGATAACCATGAGGAGAAAAGGAAATACTAGAGCATTATAATAAAATGGGTGAAATTGTGGATGTTGGAAGATTGCAAAGATGCTCTAAAAATGTATGAATAGAAAATTGGAAATTCCCTTTCTTGTGATAGAATACCTGCAACTATTACTGTTTTTCAGATAAATATAAAAGGATTAAAATTGAAAAAATATATAAATGTATTTGTTTTATTGCAGTCCAACTTGATTAAAATTTGAGACTGGGGGAGAGAAGACTCATTCTCATTCTTGCCATACAATGACAATGCTTTGAGTTTTTGAGATAAATTTCAGAAATATGTTAGTGTTCTAATGCTAAGAGATGGGAATTAGTTGCTAATTTCTTGGAATAATCAGTTATTTTTGTACTCAAGATGTTAAAAAGCCTAATTTCTTAAAATGGATTTCTCTTTGAATGTACTTGGTGAACAGACTGTTTCAGTACTAAAGTATGCTTCTTTATGAACCTGTATCACTAGTGATTTTTTTTTTCCTTGTAGATGTGAATTAATAGATTTTTACCAAGATGGTGGTATAGTCAAGCAGTTTATCTTTAGAAATAAAAAGGACAACTTGAGACAGACTGGCTGAAAATGCCTTTTTTCTCTCCCCAGGGAGAAGGGCCAGCATTTTTTTTTGAATGATTATTAGTTTATATTTAATTTACATTTCTTTGGTATGAAACTTTTTTTTTAATTTTGGCTGTACATCATGTTCCATAGGACTAATTCTTTTCCTCTCCCATAGTTCAGTGAGATACTGGTCATTATGTAGACCTGCAAGATCATATGGTATTGCTTCTTCCATGTTTTTCTTTGAAGAAAAGCAGAAACAATAAAGTAGTCTGGAGACTTCTGGGATACCATTGAGCTGTACTGTCCTTATGCCTCTTCCTGAAGTGAATCCTGCAGATTATTGCTCTCTCTTTATTGTAAGAGCTTTAAAAGTTGTGTGTTATTTGCAAGAGTTCAGTAAGAATGGGTGGTTCTCTTGCAAAGCAAAGACAAAAAGTCCTCTGGATTGTGTACTGCAGAATGTAAGAAAAAACACAGGCCTTGTGTAAGTGGAGATGCATAAGTATACCATACAGAATTAGAGCATCAATAAGGGTTCGAAGTTGTTCTTTGAGGTCCCAGACTTTAGGGCTTAATTCCTCTGCCATAAATGTTACACTTCTGCATTTCTAAGAACTCTTCTAGCTGAAAGTGTTTATATAGATACTTCTTTCAATTTGCAGGTGTCCAAGTCTCTTTAATTGCTAATTCATCACCTTTATCCTATCCTCTGTATAGGATGAGGCACATACAAAAGAATTAAAATTGTGGACAAATACTTACCCCTTTTTCCCTTGACTCCACGTGTTTCCTTTCTGAGGAAAAGATTTTATTTCTGGGTTGCTACTTAGCCATTCTAATGTGGTCTAGAATAGTGCTCTTCGTGTACTAGGGCAGTTGTAGTTTTATTTGGTTGCTGCCTTCATCTTCTCTGAAGACAACTACAGCACAGTATTAATTGGCGATGCTCACTACGAAACTGTGTATATCATTTACCACTACAACAATGGAATTTTAAAGTTTTAATGGGTAGGAAACAGTGTTTCAGTTGAAGATTTTTATTTTGTTCATACATTTGGGTCTTGCCTGTAGTAGTGATTAGAGGCTTTTCAGTCTTGAATATCTTTAAATTTATGTGTATGTGAAAGTAAATGTGCTGTACACTGTGTGTTTTTTACAAATAGGAACATTTTTGATAGTGAAGTTTATTGTGTATTCATTCACTAACTGTCCTATTTCTGTTTACTCCTGTTACTAGAGATGTTATTTTGATGATATTTCTATATTTAGTCACTCCTATATGCATTTTCTTTGTATAACAGTTGAGAATGTAATGAAGAAGCAAGAGTATTGGTAGAATGGTTTATTCTTCAGTTGTATAAGCTAAAAGCATTTCTGTCCCAAAGTGACTTCAGCAAGTGTCATGTTGTAGGGCTTGTTTATTAATTACATTTCTAATAGCTTCCTTATAGGTAGAGTTGTAAATTTTCATTATGGTTTAGTTTCATCTACTTACAGTAAGCTGAAGGATGTCTTAATTTTTACCCGGAGAATTTTGTGTGCTGTGTATTCCGTGGGGAAAAAAAAAGATAGAAAAAATAAATAAATAAACATTTTTAACCATGCTTTAGACTTATTTTAAAAAGTTGATATTATAGTAATGCTGTACATAATTTGTTGCTCTGTAATTATGAGTAGCAAAAGCTTGGAATTCGAAAGGTATTAGGAGAAGATTTCATTTGTTCTAGCCATCTAAAAGGCCACAATAAATTGTGCATGCAACTTTGGCTTCCCTGAATAGCTCTTTCTAATTCATTATTGCACGGTGTGTTGGTTTTACATTTTTGCTTTCGCAAGTGAGAATATAATGCTGCCTTCTATAGTTTCCCTGTTGAAATGTTGGTCATGCTGTGCAATCCATTGTTTGCTGCTTATTTAATTCCAGTCATGAAATTAGTAAGTAGTAAGTGATACAGTGGCAGAAAAAGGATAATGCTGTCCTTAAAATCTTTTTAGGAAATTGCTGTATTATGCCTGTTTTGTCTGTTCAGATACAAGTCTCTCACAGTGAAAGTCGTGTAAATGATCAGATGGGAAACTTTACTGCCCTATGGTAGTGAAGCAGCCAAACGTCTTGGCAGTGACTACTGGATAACATGGTAAACTTTTTGATGTGGAGGAGAGGTGATAGCGTGTTATTTTTAGTAGTGTGAAGTGAACTTAATGTTTCCATGACAGTATGAACCAAGGGCTGTTGCAGTCCTGCCATTCCTTCATGATTTGCTGTTCCTGCCTCCTGTTTTGCATCAGAAAGTATTGGCCTTCATCTGACCGTGTAGTGAGTCCATTTGGTAGAGAGCTTAACCTTGTACTAGCTGACTTGCTACAGAGTTAGGTCTGTTCTAGCACTGACAGAAGTGAGGGAATGATGATAGGCAGA